TCTAAAGAAAGGTTTTGCGCAGGTTTATGAGTGAGTAGTAGACCATTGTATATTGAATAACATGAGTTGGTTTCATTTTGGATGAATTGTCACTTAAACTTAAATTATTACCGAAACGCGTTGATGGCATGTGTAGACCTCATCCTTTGTATTTTCATATTTGTTAAAGAGCAAAGTGAAAGAGTCATTGTAGAATTGACTGTCACGGAACCACACTCGAAGCAACACTTTTCAAACACATTTCTTCGGGTCCTCAGAATGCATGCTATGTGTCCATTAAGCCCCAATCCCAAATCCCATTTTTTTTAAAGAAAAAAAAAAGGAAAAAGAAAGATTTTAAAATTGCTGTAACTCCCCCAAACCCCAATCTGCCGTGAACGACACTTTAATGACATATCCCCCGCCCCCGCCCCCTCTCCCAAAAAGAAAAAAGAAACGAAAAAGAAAACGAAAATGAAAATTAAAACCCCCCAAAAAATCCATGGGGGGAGCCTCATTCGCGACGGACGGTCATTCGGGAATTTCACGTAATCATCACCAGCGCCTGCTCTGTCTCGTGGACTCTGGAATCACGGCCGACAGCACGACATTGCCAGAGAGGCAATTTGAGAGGTGCGCCTGTCCAAAACCCATCAGGCCACACAAGAGGGGTCGGGCGTTCACAAGTTGCACGACATGGCGTTCACCCCTGGTGCCACACAGTGCAAAGCAGGTAATTCGCTCGTTCGTTAAAGAGAAACAGCACGACGACGGAAGGCCCCCCCACCCCCCCCCCCCCCCCCCCCCCCTTTTTTTTCACCCATCCTTCCCCAAAATGGACGTCATAATTTAGATCATACAGGAGAAGAAAGGTTACTAGGCTCCAGCCCATTACAGCCAACGAGGGATCGGTGGGATTCTGTATCCAATCAAAAGGGCGGGGATACTCGATAAATAAAATAATAATTTTCCCGTGTGGGGATTGAACTCCCATCCTTGGGGAGAGGAGGGGGGGGGGTCAATTTGGGGCAAGAGCATAAACATTACACAATAGCAGCCCGTACATATCTGCCTTATGTATTTATAGAATATCAAATAATTATAATACACATGCGCTCACAATTGGGAACGGACATTGTACCCTTGCCTCAGAGATACACAAACAAGTGCACGATCAAACAAACACAGCCATGAATATGTATATAATATTATAAAAGCACTCGAACACACAACAGACACACGCATACCAATGCACACACATACACATACAAATACACAAAAACAAAACAAAAACAGAGAGAGGGAGTGAGGGAAAGAAAAAGAGAGACAAAGAGAGAGAAAGTGGAGGGAGGGAGACAGAAAGAGAGAGAGGGAGAGAGAGGAGGGAGGGTGATAAAGGGAGAGGGAGAGAGAGGAGAAAGGGGAAAGGGGGGGAGAGTGTGTATGAGAGAGAGAGAGAGAGAGTGTGTGTGTGTGTGTGTGTGTGTGTGTGTGTGTGTGTGT